GAATGGCCCTGTTTTACAGATGAGCAAATAAGTTAATGAAAGGCACACCATCCCTCCCCAAAAAAGAAAGTCTTAGACCCAAATTGAGTGTATAATTCCCTTCCAATGGCTATCAATGTATGGGGAGAACTTCTCTTCCTGCATCCTTGCTTTCAAAGTAGAAGCAGGTATCTTAGAATAAATACACTTAGAGTGTGTTTTTGGTGAATGTGTCCTGTTATTATTGTGTGTAGGTCCTTGCTCTTCTGATCAATACATTGAGAAATGTTTGCTTTTATTTCAGAATTGCAGTGTGCAAATTGGCTATGCCCTTAACTAATTTAATTAATAAACAGCCTTTGTTACCAGAAAGAAAGCAGGATTGCTCCAGAGCGTCACCCAGAGTGACTAACTCAAGATGTTCCTGTTTGTCAGCTGTCCTTGGCACTTTGGGGAGGACCAGTTTCCTCCTTTAAAACACTTTAGTGATCTCCACAAGGGAGCAAGGTCTATTTTATGTGAGTCCTGCCAAGAAGGCTCTTTTCTCACTCATAGTAGGGCAATAAATGCTGACGGATGTTAACATCACTATTAAAATTCAAGCCTGCCTTTCTGATCTATGATGCATTCATAGCTAGGTTAACAATGTCAGAGATGATGGTGACATATCAATATTACTGTTAGTGTTCATTGATACTTAAAATTTCAGTTTGTAGCTTTAATGGTCTCATAGCTTTCAGTATTTATAAGTGCACCTGCCAGGCTTTCAGATCAGAACAGCCCTTTTAGTGCCTTATTCCTCCAAATCACGTTATCACTATCTGAGTCTATCTGCTGTGATTGGGGGAAACCTGAGCCATCCCAGTAAGATGGGAGTTTGATGTTGACTAAGGATCAGTGATGGATGCCTGTGATTCAGCCAGGGAAGCATCACTCTTGGCTGAGTACAGCAAACCAGATGAGATCGATTTTGAACCCCATCTGGGCTCAGTCATTACCCTCAAATTTAAAATAGATATTTACAGTATATGGTGTAGACTATCCAAGGTTTTAGTAGCATTTGCTTTTTGTAGTGTTTGCCTTTCATGAAAGAGTATTAATAATTCCAAGTATATCCCTAAATGGCTGGCAAAGCATTTGAATAGATTGCATCAGCCATTGTGGGCGATTTCCCATTTCAGACCAGGAATTCGTGGGGTCAAACACAGAACAATGAAAGAGATTCTTGCTCATTGCTAGGCCAGAGGAATCCAGTGACAACTGAGGGTTTGAATTGTAAATCAAGTCTGTCATCTCCTTGTCAACTATGAAAAACCTCAACTCACTTTATGTACTATTTGGGGTTTATTATTAAGGTTCTTTGTTGTTTTCCAAAAATTTTAAGGGAGATTAGACTCATGAGGCATTTGTTCTAATTGAGCATTGAATCTGAATTTTGGAAAAGAAGAACAAAAATGAGTACTATTTAGAAACTATTAAATGAATAGACAGTGTCTGCCACAATTATGACTGTGTCTAACCCAAGTGTCTAACCCAAGTTATGGGATCACTCTGTATTTTTAAAGGTTGCTGCATGGGGGTCATAAGCAGCCCACACATGGTTAATAGACTGGACTTTAGTAGTGTCAATGTCTATGGTGATATGAATAGATAATTTATAAGGAATTAATACATTTACACATGCAAATGAAAACTAGCTTCACCTCATTGTTTCCACCAAAAGCAATTTTGACTTTTTGACATTAAATCTGGGGAGATTTCTTTTCTGGCCATAACTGGGAACAGGTGGAGTGAGTAGCCCACACAACCTCTTGCCTCACTGAAAACTTGATTCTGCACAAAAAAGTTTGAAAACCACTGCCCCAGGAGCAGAGAACAGGCAAGCTGTTTGGAGCAGTTTATTGTGATGATTCAGGTTCATTATCCATTCCACAAATATTTATTGAACGCCTACTATGTAAGCTCTCTGCAGTGGAGCCTGGGGTATCGTGGTTGCCAAGCAAAACTTGGTTCATTAAAAAATGCCAGCCAGTAAAACAACTGAATGGGAGCTGAGAGGAGGAGCCTGACTTCTGAGGACCAAGTGTAGAACAACCTGGCTAAAATCCTGTCTGAGCAATTTGCCCCCACTTGATGGATGATAAAAGAATCTATGCAGGGCTTTAGTAGGAGCCTATTTGAGAGAATAATTATTACAATATGTGCTAGAAAAGAATCATAATAATAGACCATAAAAATAAACCATGGCTCTTGACTAATACATTAGACCAGATCATACCAGTTGATAACAGTAATGAACCCTATGTGGCAGAGTGGTACCATTTAGGGAAACTCTTGCAAACACCTACACAGAAAGGAATTAGCAAGGGAGTGCTGTTTGCAGAGGGCTAAATGTGGGAACTGCAGAGCTCAGACTACAGCAGTTGAGGTTCACACATTTACATATACACACCCACTCACCTCAGACCTTGTTAATCACTTAAAACTTATTTTATTTTAGCAACTGCCATTTTACCTTAAGACTTGCATTCCACCATCCTGTTGCCAAAACATATTTGGTCCAGGGGATCCATAGCACGTAATAAATTGACGCAGATTTTTGTGTTTGAAAAGAAAATAATCAAATGACAATCGTAACTCAGTAGAACCTATTGATAACTAAAGTCTAAACATTTTGAGGACAGACTCTGTAGGTCTCAAAGTGTATCTCCAGAGTCTTGATTTCTTTTGCTGACACATCTCAGTGGATGTTGAATTAGATCGATCACATTCTTCTAACCATTACATCCACATCACGAAGCTCAGTAAAACAGAGTAAAATCTATACGGTTGAACCTTGTTCTGCATTCAAGTGGCAGCATCATAGTAAAATCCAAGGTATTTGCTACAGCCCATATGCAAATTATAGTCAGTGATTAAGATAATGCAGCCAATGTTGATATCAAACAGAATTGCTAAAGTCTTAGCATTATGGGCCCGAATTTATGGGAAAAGTCAGTATTTTGGTGGACCAGGGTTTGGGGTGGTGCTATGATTATGGTAGAAAAATACTTTCTCCTCATACATAAGAACTTGGGCTTGGTCAATCTCTTTCTTCACTTTGGCTTATTAAGGAATCTTTTTAAACCTTCAGCAGTAGTACTTCCAGTCTTGTTCACTTCTGTTGCTTGGATATTAATCTAATTATTATTGTTAATTACTACTTTGAGATGTAGGCCACAAATGTGTATACATGGAACTTTCCCATTTTGCTGTTATGTGATCTTAATGTTGCTTAGCAAAAGTGGCTTTCTTTCCTTACATTAGCAGCTAAAGCTCTTAAACGGTATCCAAGAAAGACTCCCCTTAACCAAATAAGGGAGTAATTTATATTTTATAATTGTATAAATTGACAATATTTAATATTAGCATGAGGTTCCAGTAATGCTTGTCCACAAAACCTCTGCCCACCTCCAAATGCACACACTTAGATGCACAGACCTTACTCTGTAATTTGAAAATGTTTCATAGTATTTTGTTTTGTTTTTTAATATCTCATTGACAGTGCTAAGGCGAGTCTTTTTTCACTTTGTGCTTCAGAAAAGTGAAAGTATGCATATATTTTCATAAAGAATATATATGTCAGAAATGTTAGTGTTTGGGTGGCAATGTGTAATGGTATACAAAATACTGCAGAGTTGGTTTTGGTTGCAAGATAAAGCTTCCCTCAGACAGAGGTGCCTATTCCATGACTCCAAGCAGAGTGTCCTCGCCAGGGGCAGAGGTGACTCTGGAGTCCTTTTGGAATCACCTACAAGCAGCATTTTAAAGAAGCAAATTGTTTCCTGTGCTTAGAGTAAAAGCAGTAGGTTTTAATTCAGTTAGTAAAGCCATGCACCACTAGCAGCACATGTAACTTATATAAACTCACCTCTAAAATTGTCAAGAAAAAGAGTATGATTTAGAAAACGAATTAAATTATGTAATTTAAATGTGTATAGTACTTCCTATGATTTTTTTTTAAAGTTATGTTACTGTGTGGATTGGTGGCCACAAAACCATGTACACCGTACTTTTATTGGCTTTGAGGAGGATTTGCAAAGGTATTTTGACTACACTCAATTTTTGCCTAATGAGCACACCTTAAAACTGAACTGCTACATAAGAAAAGACTACAGTATATTTTGATATAAGTTTGATTTTAGCATTGACTAAGTTTGATTTTAGCATTGATTTTAGCATTTGATTAAAGCTACATTATTGTGGATAATATATAAGGCATATTCTGGATAATTTATCTAGATCAGAGGGGCAGCAGTCTTAATCTAATATGAATTTCAAATCAGCTTATAAAACGAAATTAACAAAATATCCAAGGTTATGGTTTTTTTTTTTTTTTGCATTTTTTGGTTTCTATTTATTCCCACATAACTCGGATAATTTTTGTTGTGACATCTTTGAATGCCTGGTAGGAAAGGGAATTTAAGAGCGTGGTTCACCGACAGAATCCTTTGGTAAACTGGTTCCAGGGCTACTTTTGTGTTCCTTGGTGACGCTGAAGCTTGCTGGGCTAATCATGGGTGCATGATTTGATGTGTTGCTGAAGGTTGCCCATCACCCTGGTGATTACCCAGTGACTGTCCCCACTTTCACTGCACTAAGCTTTCAGTGGGACTGAAGAAGGGTCGGTGTGCACTTTGCCTCGGAATCCTCCTGTGCAGGTGCGATTTTACCTGGTAACAACACTCACCAGGTGGCTTTCCGCAGGCAGGATTTCTGCTGTGAAAGCTCTGTGGCACTTTTCTTCAAAGTCAAGTCCATAGACGCTCAAGGAAACACGATAGGCACCCAGCCCGGGGAGCCTAGTGAACTTCCGCCAAGCAGGGCCTGTGTTCATTCAGGTTAACGTTCTGCTCGTCTCATTTGGGAGTTGGCATAGAAAGGGGGCTCCGAGCGATTGCCTTGCTCATGTTGCTTGGGTGGAAGCAGGAGATATTCATGGATTTCTGTTTTCCTTCCTCCCTCTCCCTCTGATCCTTCAGATTTATGAGGAATCCAAGATGAATTTGGAGCAGGAGAGGCCGTTTGTCTGCAGTGCCCCAGGCTGCTCCCAGGTGAGTGTGCGGATCCTCCGTGCTCTGGCATGCAGCGAATGCACCCACTTCCCACGGGGAAGCAGCTCTCACCTGGCAGCCACGCCTGCCCTGGGCTCTTCTTCTCTACCGAGATACTATCAAAGTCCGTAGCCCTCACTATCATGATCATCACCATCTTCGTGATTATCACATTCCCCTTTGAATAGTGGTGACTACTTTGCTCATAGCCCCCGAAATATAGCAGCGTTGGATGTTTCCACCCATAACTTCCCCCGGAAGCAAACCAGATGCATCCTGCCCACCAGCTGTGCAAGGCTGTCATTTTGGAAAGGGAGAAGGAGGCTGCTTACTTTTACAATAGCCCACTTGAATACTGGCTGGACCTTTGGATTACTGGTAAAATAGGTCACCATCGTAGCTTCAATTTTATTTTGTTTTTCCCCAGGAGTAATAAAACAACTCCCTATAACTCTTCTAGCACCTACAATTTCCCCCTGTATCTAAACTTTAAGAGAAGTTGTCCTGCTGCAATGGATTAAATCTCTTTTAGTGTCTGATGGCTCCCATCAAGTGGAATTAGAATGGGAGTTAGACAGATACTACCTGCAGAGTGTTTGGCATAGGGTTTGCACATACTAAGTGCTCAGTTAATATCTGCTGCTGTTACTACAACTGCTGCTGCTACTACTACTATTCTACTGGAACCTAGCTGTTTGAAAGAAATAAGAAATGTTCATAGCCTAACATCAAAACTTTGCATTTTACCGTTTGAACTGGAGTGTGACCTTTTCTACTCTTGACCCCTTTGGGTATCTTCATGTTCCGGTCATTGGAAAATGACCACCTGTGGTTGCTCTTATGCCAAGATCTTCATTGTAATGAGATATAGGATGAGTTTAGATTCCAGAGCACAGGCATCTTTCCTGTGGGTAGCTATACTCTTTCCCTAAGCTACCCAGTAGTTTCAAGGGAATTGAGCTTTTCTGCCTGTTCACGTGGTGGAGTTGGCAGTGCAGTATGGAGCAATGCCTGGGAGTCAGATGGGAGCTGACACCCACTGGGGACTCTTCTTGTTCTATCTCCCTAGAGAGAGAGTTTGTGGAGGATTTTAAGAGCGTCCTGGAGGGAATAAGCCATAGAAATTTAGAACATTGTTGCTGATTGATACCAGCCTCTGACTGTGTACCCAGAGTCCTTTGCTAAGTTTCTGGAAGTTTCACTGGGGGCTTTTGTGTCAATGTTTATTTCTAACTTATAAATAAGAAAAGCAGTGGGGAAAATTATTTTGGAGCAAACTGGTTTGGAGGTCATTTTGAAGTAGGAAATGCTAGGAAAACATAGGTTGATAAGTAACTGGGGAAAATCCTGCTAGATCAGGACTCCCCACAGTGAATGCAGAATATTGCCTAAGGTACACAGGTAACTAAATTAAAACTTCGTTCCTAAGGTAAAATGGATTCCCACCCACTTTCTTTAAATAGAAGTCTTGATAGCCAAAGGGAATCAGATACTCTGAGCACTTTGCTCTGCTTTGGCTGTGAAAATGTGACATTAAGTTTTATTCCATTCTGGCCACTCAACCGGTTTGGAAGCCTACTATGTGCCAGGCACTCTGATTGCCCTGGGGAAACAGCATTGCACAAAACACATGTGTCCTTGTCCCCACAGAGCCTCACAGAGCCTGGGCGTCAAATCTGTAATCACATGATCAACTCATCAATTAGTCAGTCAATTGCATTTTTCCATAAAGAAGACCATGGGCCACTTTGAAGAGTATAAGGGGGTGTTTACTTTATTTGGGGAGGTACCTTGCAGGCTCCCCTAAAGAAGGGGCATTTAAGGGACTGGGCTTCTCAGGACACCCAGCAAAGGCAACAGAGGATTGGGAGCCAGTGAGGCTTGCCTGCAACCTCCAGGGTTTCGTATGACAGCAGAGGAGAGAAATTCAGGGACAGGGTCGTTAGCCATATCTGACATTTAGGTAAGTCAGAGAGAAGAGAGCTGCACACAAGTCATTGGATCCAATGACAGAATTTCTCAAGCTTGGCACCATTAACGTTCTGGGCTGGATAATTCTTTGTCGTGGGAGGCTGCCCTGTGCATTGTAGGACGTTTAGCAGCATCTCCAGCTCCAACCACGAGGTCCCCATAGCACTTCCCTGTTGTGACAACCAAAAATGTTCCCAGACATTGCCAAATGTCCCCTGGAGTGGGGTGGGGGTGGGGGGCAAAGTTATCCCTGGTTGAGAATGACTGCCCTCTGGTTTGCATTTGGGCTTTAGCCTCATTTCTTTCTGGATCCCTTCTCTTTTGGAGTCACTAATTGATGCTCTCCCACACTTTTTAACGTATTGCTGGGAGCCATCTTTTCTCCTTTTGGCATCAGGCAGAGGATAAATAAATAAATGCCACAGACGTGTGGTCACTGGTGTCAGACCTGTAGAGCTGGGATAGTCAGAGGACCGAGCGGAGGCTGTTGGGTTTGGCAGGTAGGTGCTTGCCGGCGACCTATGGGAGGGCAGCAGGGCGGAGGCCAGCTTGCAAGGGATTAATGAGCGAGTGGGTGGTGAGGAAGTGGAGGTGGCGAGCACAGAGGACTCTTTCAGGAGCACCAGGCGGTGACGGGAAGCGGAGTGATATAATGGTAGCCTGAGAAGGAAGAAGCTTTTTTAAAGTTAAAGGCTAGCCAAGCTGGATTTAGTCAAGGGCAAGAAACCAGTGAGAGGGAAGGAGTGAGCGTGCTGGTTTGCAGGGACAGTCCCCAGAAGACACGGGGTGGAGAGGATCCCGCAGAGGAGTGGGGACGCTCATTCTTCTGAGAGAGGAGGGGATGGAAAGAGAGTCACAAATTCTGAGGTGGAGGCGGTAATAAACACTGAAGGGGACCCATTTGGAATGATCTTGAACTTCTCTGTAAAGGAGCAGGTCATTTCTTTGAGAAGGCTGAGTGGACTCAGGAAAAGGTTAGAACAGACCTAGAAATTAGAGTTTACAGTTCCTTGATTTTAAAGTACAATTCCAAGCTTCCTCCATTGCAAATTTAAATATAAAGATGCATCTAAAACTTGATGTCTCCATTTAATGTGAAAGTGTTTCTTCTTTTTCTTGACAAGCTATGATAAAAAATATGTGCATCTTTCAATTGAAGAGGTGTTAGAATTAAATGTCACATCCACTCAAGGGTCTCCTGGTGGGGTATTAGGAACTCACAGTCAAGTCAGTTGTTGAGATCATGGCATTGACTTTAGGGACATCCCATAGCCTGGGAACCTGCATGGAGAAGAAAGGATGGCTGGGAATTGGAAGGGGGAGGAAGTATGAATTATCAGTGCTTGGACTGCACTGGGGTGATGGAAAGATTTTTCCCCCTTTTTCCGTCATTGGAAAGAAGTGTTGCTCTATTAGGAATGGCCTAATAGAGCTGAGAGCCTGATAGACCAGAGAGACCTTTTTGGTGTTGTTATAGCTCCTAAGACATTATCTTTGTCTCAGGAGTCACGAGAAAAACAAACTTCTCTTGCTCTTTCTAATCTCCCAGACCCCAACATTAATGTCACTCTTCCTTTGCTCTCTGGATTAGCCATGTTCTGAGGTTCCAGTGGCCTCTCTCAGCTCTGTATCTGTTGCAGACTGTACATTTTGATTATTTACAATTTGCTGTTATTTTCCTATGTAATTTTTTTTAAAAGTCACAAATGTCTCTGTGATTTGTATATTGTCTTGTTTGGAGGGTAATTATAGTTAATATGGAAGTATTTATGGAAATTATTATTATTTAAGAACTATTATGGTTAATATCACTACTGTAGGCTATTATTTTATGGAGTCAAAATGGGTTTTAGATAAGAAATGAAGGCTATTACCATGTTATATACATGCCCCCCCAAATTATAATAAGGCTTTTGACAGACTAGGACATTTAACCATTGTCTTTAAGTCACACATGGTAATGTCAAATAGTGGGTGCAGTCATTGAACAATGTCATAGAAGACCAAGAGAATAGATGAACCAGTGGCAAAAAAACACGTCATATAAAATAAACTTCTATGTATTCAGAAATATGGTATAATTACCATGCTTTTCGAATTCTGTGCTCTTCAATTTATATGATATAAATGACAAGTAAATAAGTGATATTTATACAAAGAACTTCCTTTGGAATATTCTATACAGTTCAGCCCAGTGAATTTCCTTGTTCTCCCTAGCACAAATCTAAACTATTTGCAGAGAAGATTTCTACCATAGTATAAAAAGTTATTTGAAATTTGTATCGCTATCCTAAAAAAGTGGGAGACTCTGAAAGATTTTCTAAATTGTCAAAGATTTGAAAATGTTCAGTAGAATTTATTGTCCTTTATTTTCATTTGACTTTGATAAAGCAGATACTCTGTTCAGTTCAGTTATTACAAACATACCAGTCTGAGTCAGGATAGGATCTGCTACAATAACAAATTACTCCAAAGCTTGAATGGCTTAAAACAACAAAGGCTTATTTCTGTTACCCAAGAATACATTTCTATTGTAGATCAGCAGGAAGTTCTTCATAATCCTTTAGAATTCAGAAATACTCTTCATAATCCTTCAGAGATTTAGGATGATTGAGTGGCCACTATTTCCAATATTGTGAGTTGCCATGCTAAAAGGATGGGGAAGGGGGAACACTAGAGGGTCTTACACCAGGAATTGAATGCTCACCACTGAGTGACAATAAATCCATTCATTCATTCATTACTAAGTGGGCAGAGCTAGTCACATGGCTTTACCCAACCACAAGAGGGCCAGAAAATTCAATACTTCTATGTGACCAGAAGACAGCAGAAAATATTTGACAACCATAATATCATTCCCTGAAAATTAAAGTATTGGTTTACACTGTATGGAGTATAGAACATTAAAAATAACTTATCATATTACTATGAAATCATATGTATAATTATAAAATCAGACAATTGTCAAAAATCAGATAAGGGGTGGGCAAGGTCTTCATAAACAGAAACATACTATACAAATTTCATGGTGTACACTTGTAGATACATATGTGAAATATTAACAATTAAGTGTGGCATATAGTCCTTTCCCAAAGTTTTATATGAATCAAAAGTATTTTCCTCTGTCATGCATTGTTTCTCCTACTTTGGGTTAATCTATAGATAATGTATAATCTAGTGTATTTTTCATGCCTTAGACTTGATTTTACATTCTTATGTAAAGCAGTAACTATTAAAGGAAAGTTCCAAGTGATTTTGCAAAATTCCAGTGCTACTCAGGTCTAAATTCATTTTCCTGTTTTTGACATGGTTTTCTTATATGTATAAGAAGAAATGGGAAATTTTTAATTGTGTCATGTTGCCATTATTGGTTATTCTTTGTGACCACAAATACACATTCATTTAAACACTTTTATTTTTTTTTAAAGACACTGCCTACCCTAGATAGGTGTTAGGGCACAGCATATTTTTGGTGCATGTTATTTTAGTACATTGTTCATTACCTCTTCCCGTTTTATCCTTTAACTAAATACAAAGTTTGAAGTCTACCCTCAGAGCAAACCTCTAGTTCCCAAAGAAATATATAGCTTACTGATTAGTTAACCCAGTTGGCCACATCCAGGGACTATCTAGGAAGTAGGGGCCTTTTAAAAAAGTTCCTGGGGACGGTGTAGGGTATCAGAGAATGACAGAAGGCAAAGATCTCCTACTTATTATGAGTACTCAGCCAGATTTGTCTGCAATACGGTTAACTCCTTTACTTAACAGTAATGGAAATTATGATGCATATATTGGGTTATTCCAAGGAACATCCCAGCACATTTGCTAGCATCAAAAATCTTGTAACTCTACTTACTCATGCTTTCACACTTTTTCAGAACTGATTTTTTGTTTTGCCTCTCATCTTTGCAATGCTGAATAAATCGTTTTCTCTACGATGGTAAAGATGTTTTACAGAACTGAATGGCTCTTCTTCTCCCCTCCCTTTTTTTTTCCTGTTTGTCTGACAGCGCTTCCCAACAGAGGATCATCTGATGATTCACAGGCACAAGCATGAGATGACTTTGAAGTTTCCCTCAATAAAAACAGACAACATGCTGTCAGGTAAGGAACCATCAGGCAAAGAAAGGAGATGCTTATTCTTCTTTTGGTGGGCTCCTTCCCACTGGCCAATTCTGTGCCTTGAAAATACACATTTCTAAGGTATAGCAGAAGTGTAATCAGCTAATGTTCACCCAAATAATGAAAGAGCTGTAGCTTCTCGTTTTCTGGAATGTGCAATATTTATTACTAGGGAACATGGGTCCCTATAAGTTGTTTTAAAAATCACATACCTGTAGTCACTCAAGCAGCAGATGTTAATTGAGATCTATGATGCACACGGCGCTGTTCTGAGTGCCATGGGAAGTGTAACGATGGATATGCCTCCTCCCCTAGTGGGCATCACAGTATAGTATGCACGTGAAAACTTAGCTAAAGTAAAGGATCACCCGTGATCTATTTATCAAATGAGTGTTGTGAGGAAACAGTGCTATGCAGCTTTAGTAGGGGAAATTCTCTTTCTGGATTGAGATGGTCAGTAAAGGTGTCCTTAAGAATCAGTACCTGCCTCATAAGTGGGAGATTAAATGAGAGGATACAGGGAAAAATAGCAAGTGCTCTGAAAATGCGAGCAGAAATTAATAGTAATAATAATAAATCCATCGATTAATTGCCATTCCTTCCCATTTTGACAGTAGTGCAGTAAATCAGAAAGAGTGTAGGGATAGGAGTGAGGAACTTGAACTCTAGCCCGGACCCTGCCTTACCTGGTCATGACCTTGTGCAAGTTGTGAACCTTTTGGGGCCTCAGTTTCTTTTCCCATAAAACGGGAGTGAGTGTATCTGCCCAACCTATTTTATGGGCTTATTGTGAAGAGTCAATGAAAAAATGTAGGATAAAGTGCGTCATAAACCCCTAGCAGGGTAATCAAGTAATCTCTTGTTACACTTCTTAGGCCAGATATATACAAAAGAGATACTGCACCTCCGGACATGTTTTAAATGACACCAGAAAAGGCACTGACTGCCCTGGCAGGCCTGGCTCATGTAATTTAGCATTTCTATGGCACTTTGCTTTTGAAAATATTTTATTATTACTATTATTAGTGTATCCTCTAAGAGTTTTGTTAGACGGCTGATTATGACACTTACGTTACTGATAGAAAGGGCATAAGGCGATGCAGTGTCTTTCCCAGGCTCACAAGCCAGGGCAAAGATGAGGGCCCTTGGTCCTGCGATCCTCACGCACTGACTTGCACATGGCTACTGTATTGTCAGGCTTCCCCAGTTCATATACACCATCAAATGTGCCCGGTGTCAGAGCCGTCCACGCGTCTTCACAACTGTGCTATTGACTTGTTGATAGTGCGGACCTGCCGTGGTTCGGAAGACTCCAAGTTCAGAGGCAGCCTCTGCTTTTCTCTCCACCTACCACCCGCCACCTCTCTCAGCCCGTTTGTTGTTTTTAGAATGAGCTGGCTCTTTAGAAACTGTTTTGTCATTCCTTAAGTCTGCAAACAGAGATGCAGAAACTCAGATTTGTAAGAATTCTGAAAGCCTAGAAGGATGAGGAAGGATGGCTTATTCTTTTATGTTCTATAGAGTCACACATAGTATAGCTTTATGGTTTAAGAGTAGATACACAAGTAGCAAGGCTAGAGACTTTGCAATTCCCGATACTTAAATCTGTAAGTTCTTTATTTTTTCCCCAATTGGATCCCTAAAATAGGCTGCCTGGTAAGCCACCAGTGCAGTGTCCCTCAGGCAGGCTGCTAGGATGGCCCTAAATGTGCCCCTTCTGAAGGTCTGAGGAAAAACAACCGAAGATGTGTGAACACCGGGGTGAAGCATTCTGTGTATTGCCTAAGACAGGTCTTTTTTTTTTTTTTTTTTTTAATCTCTTATAGTTTTGCAGCTGTTCTTACCAGATCCTTATTAGTTTGAGGTTGTTCCTGCTCATCACAGGCGGTGCCAGGTGGAAACTCATTGGGAAAAAAGTAACTCTAATTTTCATGTCACATTTGGAATGAAAAATGAAGGGAGAAATAAGCACGAGGAACACAGCATGAATACTATATTGACACATTTTCTTTTGCTTTCTCATGTTTTTTGATGAAGTTGGTAGGTGATCATTTAATACTGCCAGTGAAATGAAGTGCTCATTTTTAAAATTTGCTACCCACTTAGCATGTTTGTAGGTTCATAGAATTTTCTCGTTGGAAAGGAGTGCAGAGCTCCCCAGCCCAGCCCCATATCTTTGCACTTAAGAAACTGTGTGAAATACATACTGGCATCGTCCACATTGGATAGGCTATCTGTTGGGTGTTTTTACTTTTTTTGCCCCAGAAAATACTTCAATGTTTACTTTTCTCAAGCCTCATTTTCCATAACAATAGTTTAAGCAAATTACATTGTGATTACACATATGACTGAAGATTTTATTTGTTTAATCAAAAGCTTCAGAACCTACTTTTATTAAAAATATGTTCATAGGTTCAAATTAGTCTATAATTATATTTTGTCATACTGTCCATGATAAGCTTTAGTACCTTGACAACTAGAGAGTTATTCCGCCTTTTGTTGTATGTGTTTATGTGATATTAGAATATTTTGTTCCTTAAAAGATTACTCACATTAAAGCCTCCTGGTCCTGGGAAACAAAAATATGTTCATTAAAACTTTATTTACTTTAAGCCTACTTTGTGGCCTATCATGAAGATGAATGATTTTATATGACTTGAAATACAGAACCATTAGAATAAAAATTTCATCAATCGAATCTTAAATCAACAAATATCAGGGCAAAAATCTTTAAATTCCTCTTAGACTGTTTTTTTCCCAAGTAATATTCAATTACACAGAATTTCATTTCAGATGATTTGGGGCTTGTCATATATTAGGAAGATAAAAATGTGATAGGTATTTACGTGACAAACTTCAGAAAAATCTGGTTAACCTTTGTTTTGGAAAATCACTTCATCCTTAATTAGTTATAAATATTGTAGTTAGAGAAGGTGTTAAGACGTCACAGATATACCCTTCGATAATAAGTTTCCGAAGGGTTGAAAGATCTGAAATAATTTCATAGCTTTGCTGTAAGGTCCATTTCATTCAGGCTAGAGTTTTACCACTAAAAAATGATTATAAATGATTTTTCACATGCCACAAGGTAGGGTATTAAAAGAAAGCCATGATGTTTTGTTAAGATGACTCCGATCGTCTGGACAGATAGTAAACATAAACCCCTTATTCCAAGGGGGCAGGGAAGGGACACAAATGGGGACGACAGTGTTCTGTTCTGAGAGCAAAGACTTGCACAGCCCTTCCCACCTGGGTCCTCCCATCTTTGTTTGTCCCATGTACTTCCACACCCAGCTTTCAAAATTACCAGCTATTATATGACACAATCTGTTCAGTTTGAAAATCACCCTCTAATTTCAATATAGAGGTAAAGAGGATGGTGTTTGAGTATATTTTAATGGAATTATGGTGAGGAACCCAGGAATTCCCAAATCTTGCCCTGTGAAACATCCCCACTCTCACTTCTTTATAGGGTTCCCAGGTTCTGTATAGGAAAAAACCCAGAATGGGAATTAAAGTGCAGCTTTATAGCTGAACAAGCAAATAATAGTCCAAATAAGAATTCTGATCGGAAAAAAACAAACAAAAAAACCCCACCTCAATTGGAGTACAGGACTTTTTCTCCCTCTTTTCTCCTTCCCCACTGTAAATCTCTGGACCAGCAAGTTCAGTCTTTCCTATGGAGAGAAAATGAGACAAGGCCATCCTCCAAGGTAGGGCTGCGTGGGCATGTGTGTCCACCCAGGAGCTCATACACGTGTGTGTGTGTGTGTGTGTGTGTGTGTGTGTGTGTGTGTGAGAGAGAGAGAGAGAGAGAGAGAGAGAGAGAACGGGAGAGAGACCTAGCAGATGACGGATGTTGCTGCATGGAAGGGAAGATGAAGTTCAAGAGTGTTGTGGACCTTTCCCATAGGGTAAAAATCCAATTGACATCTCAGGTGGGAAGCCTGGGAGAGACACATGGAACCATGTGTCTTTTAAATGACTAGGAATCCCACACCAGCCATCATGGCCCAGCTAATTTTGCAACTGGTCTGTGCTTGGAGGGAAGTTAGGACAGGCACTAGTGTAGGAAGAGGAGCTGAAGTTGCCCCTCCACCAGCATTTATTCATTCATTCATCACTTACTGAGCGCCTACGAGGATCCCATTGTGCTAGTTGCTGAACATGCTGCACTGAACAAGACAAATGAGGCTCCTCTTCTCATGGAGCATACTACTCTAGTGGGGTGTGGAGGAAGAGAGATAATAACAACAAAAAAAGCCCCAGATAAGTAAACAAGAAAATATCAGTTAGTGACAAGTGCTATGATGAAGATAAAACATTACAATGTAATAGCAAATGGCCGGCCAACAGGCTGCCTAAGGGTGGGTTGTCAGGAAAGGACTCTGGGCACTATGGACTCAGGGATCCTTTCTCCCTGACTTCTGAATATGGTGGGACTGGGCGTGGTAAGACCACAAGACCAGATGTGGCACAGCTGGCTATGTCTGATTTGATGCATCAAAGACAGGCAAGAGAGACTGGCTTTCTCAGTCCATCTTCCTTACCAGATTCTCAGCACTCACCATCTAATAGGGAGCATCTGGCATACCTAACAAGATAGTCCTTCAGAACCCAACTTGACCCTGGATTAGGTCTAGAATCAGAGTCTATCTCTAGTTCCAGGCTCTAAACCTAATTCTCATCACAGAGAAAGAGTGTGATTCGTGAACAAGAACGTTTGTTCCCAAGAGGCTAGTCATGATCAAACAATCACAGAACCTAAATCCATTGCTCATGGCTCTTTGTTGGAAACTCTACTCAGTAATCCATGGACATTTTAAGGGAGAAGCCAGAGGGGCGATGGCATATCTCACTCCAAATTCTTTTTAGAATGAGTTGGGATATATTTTTTTAAAAACGGAATAAGTAAATAAGCAAATCAGTCTGCCCCCACCCCACACATTCACACATAACCCCCACTTACCTATTTGTCTTTG